ACAAGAAGATGACCCCCCCCCCCCCCCCAAATTAAAGGGATGTGCCCAGTCCAGCACCTTTGATGGGGCTTTTCGGTCAGGTAATCATGCGGGATAGAAAGTACGCAATTGGGGAAGTGGGGTTACGGTTACGTTCTGGGTCCCCCCCCCCCCCTCTTCCTGTTGGATTTTCCTGGTAAAGTTAGTTTCTCGCGATGGCGTTCCCGCCTGGGACGGTGGGTGTCCTGCAGCGGGGTCTCGCGGTGACGTTCATGGCCGTTTTGTGAAGAGATCGTTGGAACCGATCGGCCCCCGACTTCCACCCTTGTTTCGAGCGTGGGGTTCGCGAGCTTAGAATCGTTTTTTTCGGAAAGGTCGAGAGGTCCGGGGAGGGTGTACTCATCACCAAGGCGAGGGGGGGGGGGGGGGAGGCACGAGAGAATCCCGTGCGGCGAGATAAATAGTGCGGCATGAGGTATGGAGCGGTGTGTGTCTATCTAGCGGGAGGATGGACGGAAGAACGGTGCCGGACCTCGCAAAAATAACGATTCGTGGCCCACAGCAGTACGGATCCCAAAAACGACTTTGGAGGCAACCATGGAATGGCTTCGTTCGACAAAACACGAGGACCCCTCGCCCCTCCCCCACCCCCGCCCCCGCCCCAACCACAATTGTCGTCTTGCTCTTCAGAAGCGTTCGGGCGGCACCGGTCTCCAGAACGGTGGCGTTAGCGGCAAGGAGCTGGCGGAGGCCTGCGGGGCTGCTGGCGCCGCCGGGAAGAGGAGCAAGGGAAAGGACAAGGACAAGCTGGTTAGTGTTTGTTTGTTTTTTTGCGATGCGCACCGAGAGATTCGTATGTAGCGAGGGAGAAGAAATCGATGGTGCGTACACGATGTGCGGTGGGGTCTCCTGCGAAGCGAGGTTTTGGGTTCTGCGATTTGCGCAAGCAGCAGCAGCAGCAGCAGCAGCAGCAGCAGCATGGCGAAGGGTAGCTGTGGCTTGTAGCCGCACTGCAGCCATCTTTCGTGGCAAAGGGAAAATGCGAGACAAGAAAAGTAATTACTGGTGGTGATGATCTGTTTTGCTTATTGTTTCGCTTGGCCCGTCCCCGAGAGTGTTGTCGAGACCGCGGTAATGAGCAGGGTGACGATAACGACAGCTGGAGGGCGTAGGAACAGGACGGGCTTGGACTCCCGCAAGAGTTTTTTCACCCTTCATGACTTGTGTGTCTGCCGCTATCGCATTGCCTCCTACGAAAGAGAACACCTCAAAGTGTTTTCCTGCGGGTTGTGACCCTGAACGGCAACATCCCCCGGGGGGGGGGGGGGGGGGGGAGACGCGTGAATCTACATGAGACAGACCTGTTTTAGCTTTAGCATTTGATGGTGACGGTGACGGTGACGACAGAAGGCACATATATCGATCCTTGCTGAGACCGCCGTTGCTGGGAATTATTTTGGATCTGAAGTAGACAGGAGGGCTTCGAACCCCTGCCCTTACCCCCCAAGCTTAATGTCCTCGCGAAGAAGGCCACCGACCTTGCTCTCTCCGATAATGCCCGCGTCGATGACGGGCCGTCGATTGAAAGTCCCCTCGGTGTTTCCAGCGCCGTTGATTTGATCTGTTTAGTGACCCTTCACTGCTGCTGCTGTTCGCCCTTGATGCTGCTTGCGATTGACGGACGTTTAGAAAGAGCTCACGGC